CAATGTCATGACCATTCTCTTTCTCATCTTCTTCAATAATAATTGCCCCACTATGAGTTTTTTTTAAATTATGAAAGGTTTCTTAAATATTTTAGAAATATTGTATACGTTTTTCTCGAAAAATGCATAGTTTTCCCGTTATTTGAAACTCTCATTTAGCATTTGACGAACAAGAGCTAACTTTAACAAGCTATAACTCGATTTGTATTGATCATACAGCAATCATTTTCTTTGTTTTTTAAAACTACAATTTTGTCTTCCGGAATTTTTTTAAAATAAAATGCTTACTTTTTAAATTTTTTCGCGGATAACCAATTAAAAACATTGATCTTTTCTATGAAAAAGTGAATAACTCGGAAAGTATTAAATTTATAAAAACAAATGTATAAAAAATGTATTACAATTAATTTTTCTTTTATTGTGTGGTCAAATTATAATAAACAAGTTACAAAAGTAATCGTAAAAATCTTCCTGGAACCAAGAAGGTTGGCACTGCGCATAAACAACTCAATGTCTGATGTGTGTTCGCTTTTGTAGGAAGCATTTTCAGTTAGAATTTCCAAAAAATGGTCTACAATTAAAAAAGTAATGTACAAGGTGTACCAAATTGCTTGTTTTCGATGTTTTTCTTTATTTTTATATATAACTATTAACTTTCATTTGTGGGATATCAAAAAAGTAGAAAGAATAAAAGTTACGTAGAAATAGTCTTTTAGCACGGGGGTATTTTTATATTTTCCATAGCCTGCTTACTTTTTAAGATACAGCACCGAAGTTTGTTTTTTCAAATAGAATGTATATTTTTTTGCACTAATAAATTCCTTATTTTTTTTAGAAAAAGGCAAATAGGTAAATTATTATTCAGTCTTGAAAATGATTAAATAAATAAAATAAGTCGTGGAATATATAGTTCATATTTCAGGAAATACTCAAAACAACCATATACTCGTATAATTAGAATTGGCTCATTGAATTTATTAAGTTTCAATTCTATAAATCTAAAAATTAGTCTTTAATCAATATAAATCAAACCAAATTCTGAGTAAACCATAGACATAGGTTTCAGTCAGGCAAATTCAATTAAAATACTGTTATTTTGAGCATTTCCTAGAATATGAACTATATATTCCACGGCCTACTTGTATTTAATCCACATTCTCAAGACTGAATAACGATTTTCCGTATTTATCTCAATTTTTTCTTATCAAACATACTGATAACTATGTATTTCTCTAATTAGCAAAAAATAATAAATTTAATAGTGCGAAAAATATACATTCTATTTGAAAAAAACAAACTTTGGTGCTGAAAATATAAAAATACCCCACTACTAAGATACTATTTTTACGTAACTTTTATCCCTTCTACTTTTTTGATATTCCCACAAATGACTAAGTAATAAAGCAACTTTTTATTGCATTTTGGCCTTTTGCGCTGTTGCCACGTTCGCACAAAGTAACTCCGAGAAGTTTTTTTTGCTTTTGGAACGCCTCGTAAGTACGTACGGGTGGGAATGATTTTTTTTTGGTGGTCATATTTTTTTTGTGCTATCGAGAGTTTGGGTTGGTTGTTTTGTTCCTAAAAAAAAAAATAAAATAAATTAAATGTTAAAATAAAAATTAATTAAGTAAGCAAGAAAAATGTGTAATTTAATTTGGAATAATTTGTGAATAAAGTTTGAGTAAAACAGTCTACAGCAATCAAGGTGCAGATACTGGTATCAAAGGGGACAAAGGTGGTCGGGATAGAGTGATTAGGAGGCATACCGGAGTTGCGATGGGACTGGATATGGGGAATTGGAGTTGAGAAGGAAGAGCAATAGGACGTCGGGGAGAAGGAGAGAGAGAGTGTGTGTGATTTTTAATAGGTGGAAAAAGAACGAGCTACGGGGAAAAAAAAAGAAGAAAGATAAAAATAAAATAATAGCCGTGCACGGTGAACTGTAGTTTTTTTTAAATAAATGTGTGTTGGACATTGAAGAAAATAAGGATGGGATTCGGCACGCAACCCGGAGGAATAGACAATAAAGGTCAGTACTTTTAATTACCGTTTTTACTGTGTGAATTTAATTTTAGAAAAATTGAAAAAAAGAAAAAATTTTGAACTAATTAAAAATTGTGTTAGGAAGGTTTATTTGATGACAATTATAAATGGTGGAACATTGAGGGTTAGTGTAGAATAGAGGAAGTTTTATTTAATTGGAGAAGGAAGTTGCCTTTTCTTTTGATTTTCTTCGAACCCAAACTTGAGCTATTGAGTGTCAGTTTTTTTTTTGGTATCAGGTCATGCTCGCGCCGCCGTGCTGGGGGGTGAATAAAAGTGGAAAGAAAGAAATTAATTAAATAGGGTTGAGGCATCTATGTTTGAGATAAGGTGAGGATTGACAAACGTTCATTTTGCTAGCCAGGAGAAGTGTATGAGTTAAAAAAATAAATAATTTCAAAATTACTTAATTTGGGTAGGTCCCTCATACATAACACAACAATATTTTACGCCAAATGGCACAAAGAAATAAATAAATCAATCATAAATCAATCAAACATTGAAGGCAAGCAATTTGGAACACCCTGTAGAGTGCACTCATAATCAATGTGCTTTTATCCTGATCCTAATGAAATACTCGTACTTAATCCGTAATCGTTTAATAATAACAATAATAATAATAAAGTCTTTTATTAAATCATGCCACACACACAATGTAACAGGGCGAAGTTCAGATGTTGGGCTACTCACGGCGGCCCAACTCTGCTCTTACACTTAACCCTACTATAATGAAAAGAAATCAAAACCTAATTGGGAATTGTACAGAAAAATAAAGAATTACTTTGTAATGGGGAAAAAAAATAAGTACATAAATAACTTTATGAAATACAAAATGTATGAAAAAAATAAAAATAAATAACTTACAGTCAAATAGGTTATAAATAATAAAATTTAACTCAACTCAAACGTTTGCCTAGCAAAAACGTTTCGTTCACGTTTCTAATAAAATGCAGACAAAATTAAACCACACCGATGGATCATATTGAATACCTCAGAGGAAAAGCGTTCTTTGCTAAGAAAAATGTGTGTGAGAATCTTCCATTCACTGCAAGAACTCGAAGTTTGAGAGATTCTTTAGTTACACTTAGCATAATCCAAGCCAAGAGAAGGGTCACATACGGCGGAGAATTATTCACCCCCATTGTACCAGATTTGAACACGATACTCGCGTCTATTAGATTCGTCAGTTATTGTCTAAGTACAAACGGGCAGTAAAAGAGTCTTTTAGTGGAGAACTCCTGGGATGACGAATTTAAGACTAAGTATTTTAGGGCGATGTAATACTCCAACGGTGGCGAAATAATTGCAGGCGAATACTTCGGGGAGCAATCTTCACTGGACTAATTTAACGTGGGCGAATGTTAAGTGCACGGATATACTGGGGCCGAATTTATGCGGGGGTAGCATCTAACATCATCATTCCTTTACCATAAAAGATATCGAAAAAAATGTAAGAGCAAAATTGTGCACAATTACCGTAGTCATGTTTCTAAAATATTTTTGGTTATCACTCGTATGCTGTATTCCAGTGTTTTTTTAATGGAACACTCCATATTATATTGAAGAATTAGAAAGTACTTGAAGAGTACTTATTTTTTTACCCTTATTACATTCACGATTTCGCTGTTTTTCCTCAAAATTTGACTGTTTTTTGAATTTTTTTTTCTACTGCAATAAATTATATACCTAGTTGCAATAAAGAACCGAAGCGAATCCAAAAATTAGAACATAAATTTTGTTTTTTACATAGTGATAAAATTATCGGACTTTTTTTAACGTAAAGTCGTATGGAAAGTGGTACCTTTTTTCACGATTTTTACTATGCGTTTCTATGGAGTTTAGCCCTGTCTATGAACAATAGCCTCCATTTTTGAGTGACAGTTAATCGCGAATGTCAATAAAATTATTCAATTGTGGGTTATTATGGATCACTATGCAAAAAAATTTCGTGTTGAAAGTGTCTTTTTTCCATGAATTTGCTTGATTAACTCGGGCTTCGCTGCAAATTCAAGAAAAAAAGTATCACTTTCAAAACTAGTTGTACAAATAACTATTTCTACCATTGGATTCAGTCCCTTGCCTTATCGAAATTTCCTTTTCAACAAAAGGGGAGATAAATTTGTAGTCAGGTCCATCAATGGAAAAGTACCCACAGAGTTCAGATGTGAATGACGAATGGTGCAACATCAAGGAAACAGTAACAAATGCTTTGAAAGAAAAGTTGTGTAAAGAACGAAGAAGAGAAGGTGAGAAGGAATGGATGTCACAACAAATTCTGGACAATATTGATGAAAGAAATAAAAATATATTAATATCGAGGAAGGAAGCATAACATGATAATCAAATAAGAAGGAAATATGACAAGGCTAAACCACATTGGATGGAAAAGCAAGGGAGTATGGAGGAACTGAACAAAATGGCAAAGACACTGACACGCAGAAAACCAAAACCAATTAGGAAAAATGGCAACAATAAACACGGTAATAAATCACCAAGTTGGTATAGAGGAGAAATGGAAGAAATATATAGAAGAGCCGAAGTACAAGGAGGGCGATAAAGGAGTGGAGATTATGAAGTGTGGAATCGGAAATCGATTGGCTGTGACTGTATTCCGGTAGAAATCATATTAGCAACAAAATTCGGTTCTTGTATTTGTGGGAATGATGTTTTACATACAACGTCATTTAGCATAGCAAACCCCAAATCGTCATTTTGAAACGCCTCTACCTACGCATTAGCAAAATGAAACACGGCCATTTTTTATTAAAACGTTGAATTTCAACGCGATTGTCAAATTGAACATAGCGACTTTTTAATATTTATTAGCAAACTTGGGAGATCATCTCCATTATGGGAATTAAACGAAACAAACGCCCCGACGAAAGCTATTTTTTAACTCTGACATTTACACTTTTCCTTTCGCTTAGGGAAATAAATCAACAAAAAATATCACCCACCTGCATTGCGGATACCCTCTCTCTGACCGCTTGAATGAAATCGTCATGACCGGCAATCGGGCTCGTGACGACCGAAAATTGATGCCACTTGTATCGTTCCAAAATGCTTAACATAGCGGCCGTTTGGTGTTCGAGCGACGGTGCGAGCTGCAATTGCAGGGACGACTGCGATGCTCGTCGTTCCAGGCCGGAATTGTCGGCGTTCCAAGCTATCACAGGTATGCCCAAATAGCCGGCCAATTGTAAAAAGTACTGTGCCGACGCCGTGCTTCTGCCATACTGTTCATAATTCATTAGGTATAGTATCGCCGACACGTTCACCGATAGGAAGTCCTTGCATAGGGATTTGAGGATTGCTGCAAGAAAAACTTGGTGTCAGTAACACAAATGGTTCATCATTTGTGAGACATTTAGAAGTAAATTGGAAGTTAGAAATCTTTGTGTGCCTGGTAAGTGAAATACAGTGGGTAAATGCCAATCGGAAATATTTTCTGTCAATAAAGACGCAACACTGTTCTGTGTAGCAATTTCAATTACATTATAAGTCAAATTCCCACAATTTTTGTCTGTTCAGGCTGTTATACCCCTACAGCGTTTTTAGTTACGAACGTACGATCTCAGATACAACTATAATGTTACTTTTAGAAGAAAAACTGCATGACAAAAACACATAGCTTTTCAATTCCATTAGACATCTAATGAGAAAAACTGCATGACAAAAACACATAGCTTTTGAATTCCATTAGACATCTAATGGAATTGAAAATCAATGTGTTTTTGTCATGCAGTTTTTCTTTTTGTTTAGCTTAAGGAAATAAATTCATACCAGTACATGTGAACGTGTTAGATTTTAGAGCTATTTTCATCGTTCCTTTTCGCGGAGTAGATTTAAATTTCTCAGAATGTGAATTATATTTATTCGAGGGCTACAGTTATGATTCTTTAATGGGCGAAAATTTGACTAATACCTACTCCACGCAAATTTAACATTTTTTAGGCAAAAAGAATAAATTTGTGAATGGAGCAAGTGGATATGTTAAAATGGCCTATAACAAATACAAAAAAAATAAATACGTGAGCAGGGGAGTGGGACTAAGTTTTAGGGAAGGTTGAAAAGGGGTGATAATCGTATGACGGCAATTTCCGGCAAAAGTTGAGATCAGAGACTAAATGGAAAAGTTGATTTATCTTAGGGAGTTCTATTTGGTGTCATTTTCTTCGTTTTTATCTATACTTTTTGTTAATATAAAAAAAATTACAGTCCTTATTGAAGAAGAAGCTCAAAAAACGACTTCATGTAACATTGAATTTTCTAGTAAATGTTGATAATTTCTTTAAATTTTGTAAATTTGTCAAAAACTGATTTCAGGATTCGATTCTACGGGAAAAAATACAAAAGAAACTACATTTCATTGTTTGAACAGAGACTTTGTGTCTTGATAGTATCATTAGTAACATTCAAATAACATAATTTTTGTGTGCTGAAATATACTATATGTTACTGGAATTGTTGAAAACGGAATGACTGTTATGTTTACAATAGAATTAGACCCCTTTCCCCTTTCCAGAGTTCGGGACGTTAGAAGCCATAGAGGGGGGTGACGGAAGTGAGTCCCATTCAAAGCATTCGAGGTATATAGATACTCTTGACGCTTACCACAAAACACGTGCGATAGAAACTACTCTGCAGTGCAAAGTTTGAGAAGTTTTTCAGCGCCATCTCTCAATTGATGTGAAACTATTAGTAGTGGGAAATTTAAAATTCCGCAGGTATATCCTTGGTAAAATTGAATCTGAGGACATTTCTTGTGAAATGGATTAGCCTGGTCTTCCTTTGGATGCAGAACATCAATTACCTGAGGAATTCAGTGATGACGCGAAGAGGAGCTTGAAGAACAATTTGAGAAGGATGATGATTCAGTTTTCCAAATGACGAAAAAGGCCAGATTAGAGTGATGCTATTTTTTTAATTCCATTTTGTAAATATTGTGAAAATTGTCCAGAATAAATTAATTTGAAAACAAATTGTTCATCTACCAGTAATTATGAAAATTATCAAAATCCTCGTGTGAGATCGAAGAGACTTCAGGGCATTTCTAGGTGGCAGATTAGTATTTTATTTTCTAGTTTTGAATCCACCATCAGTAAGATCTGGTCGGGAGCTACCTACCCCATTCTCTTTGTCGGTACCCACTTCTGACGCCCCAACAGTCATATAAAAGCCCTAGTTCAGTGAATTTCGCTAAAATCCCTCCACAAAATAGTATTAAATTTTTGGGGCACTTCTCATAGTTGGCGACAGGAGAAAGAGAGACCGTTATTCGCAACGGAAGGTAACCTATGGGCGCCCAAAGTAGACCACCCCTCGAAGGCGCCCGCTTTACAAAAGGTGATTTATTTCGCCCCTCGGGACAAAAACCAAATTCCGTCGCAAGAGTACGTGTGCGCGTTTAAAAATATTTTTTATTATACTTCATTGAAATCACCTTATTTACACCTGTATTAGAAATAATGGTATCTTGCCTTTTCCAGGCTAGCGCACGGAAAAACTTTTCCCGTCCCCTTTGATTCTTTCCGTGCGCTAATTATAAAATACCCAAAAAATTACTGCTTTTTAAATACAAATTTACAGGAAGTAAAACTAATTTAGAAAAATCTATATGCGTTCTGTAATGTTTCATATTAAGTATTTTGGCGTTTAATTCGTTAAGATGCTTGATATTTTAGATAAACTTCTTTTTAGAATTTGGGACATTTTTTTACGTTTCGTCAACTTTATCTGAAATAAACTAAATTAAACAAATCGTCCTGTTGAAATGATTGACAGTAACCATGAAATAGTATATTTCATTACCAGTCCAGAAAGGAAGATTTTCCCGTGGGCGCATGACGTTTCCCTCGCCTCACACGGGAAGTCATGCAAACACGGGAAAAGCCTTTCTGGACGTGTAATGAACGATATTTTTCATTATACCTCTCCGAAAATAACGGAGAATAATTATTTACATTGAAGTCCAAATCCAATTTGACAACAAATTCTGTTGCTTGTCTTATGACCCTTAAACCCCCATTATCTTCAACGCATCATCAATAGTCGAGCGAATTGTATCGTCTCCCCTGCATCTTGCTCCAAATTTCCGAATACTAAAATAACCTTAGTAAGTAATCACCATTTTATCTCTGCAGCTTCATTCAAAAATTGCTCCCTTGTTATACAGAACTTTTGATTTTTTTGGGATATAGCGGACGGTCTGACGCTTCAAAAAGTCGGTTTTGCACAATTTGCTAGCGTTTTCATTTTCTTTTACCGTAAGAATGTTCTTAATCATTGAAAACCTACTCCATAACGTACTCTTTTCACGATTTCTTCAATGCACCAGTTATGAAATTTTTCATATTCCTTTTCGCATCTCTCTTTTGATTTCGCTGGTAATAGTTGGGAACTGGTTTCTGCAGCTTCCCTTAATATATTAGCGGAATTTCGCCTTCACCAAAATCCATTTTTAACACAATGGTAAAAAATCGGTTGACATATATGTCAAAGTCAATCCGCGGTATGCATGGCAACGCATGGGATAGGGATAGCTATGGCAAACGTGATTATTCGTAGCGCACGGGAAAAAGTTTTCCAGTGCGCTCGCACGGGAAAACCCTACTTTCGGTGCGCTTGGGATACATGAAAAGACAGTACTTTCGGAGAGGTATAATGAAA